CCACCCCGTACGCCCTCCCTCTTACCTCCACGACGCCATCCAACCTGCACCCCCCACCCTTCCACCCCCCACCCCTTCCCTCTACACTCGCATCCCAGCCTGGCGACTGAAGGACCGAGCAAGGGAAGGAAGGAGCAGGAGTAAGCGTGAGGGAGCAGGATGGAGGGCAGCTTTGACACTGAGGAGAGTTTTGACGACCCGTCGTGTCTCGCCCCGCAGCCGCCTGGGTCCGTATCGCCCGCCAGGAGGCGAGTCCACGAGGTGAAGGAGACCAAGACCACGGTAAGGGACTTCTTCATCCATCTTCAACTTCAGTGCATTCTGGATGTCTGCGTGTGTTTGACTTCCTGTCTGTAAACAAATCGATCCATTTATTTCATTTTTTTTTTTCTCTGGCGCTGATCCTCATTAGGGTTAGCGTGAGCTGGACTCGTTCCCACCTGACAAACAACAGACTCGTCATCAGTCAAAGTCCTGGCACATTCAGACAAACAAACAGTCCCACTCATGCGCCAAATATGCACATTTTTGAAAGGTGGGAGGAAGGAATATGCGGGGAGATCACATAAACTCAATTCGAACCCCAAACCTCAGACGTGCAAGGCAGACGACTCATTCGCCGTGCTAACCTGTAAACTGAAGACGATGCTGACTCCCTTCTTCTTGGTCTTCTTCTCCGACTGTTCTTGAAAGTCATCACGTTCGTTGCTGTTTTCATTTGGTCTGTTAATGATGCGTGGAGCAATGAGGGCTGGAGGGGGGAGGGGGGGCAACGCAGGTTTTGTGACCCCCGGCCGTCGTGTGAACGAAGAGATGCAGCAGGTCCAGTTTCCATGGCGACGGAAGCACAGGCTGACAACAAGCAGAAATCACGTTGGGGGGGGAAAAACGCAAACCACATCTTTTTTTGTGGGGCTTAATAACTGAGGTGGACCATTGTAGAAAAAAAAAATACATTTGGAGGGTGAGTCTCCATCACACACCAAGCAGTTGCGCACCACAGATCTACCAATGCGCTACAACAGAAAACTGCAAACCCGCATTGGGTTTTGAGCCTCCAAATAAAATATACTGGGCTCTATTATCAAATTATTTGAATCAAACCACAAAACCATAGTGCAATTTGGTGGATATGATTCCAGAGAATGTCCTGAAAAGCGGCTTCCGCAACCAAGGAATTGAAATTACCCAGGAGGTCATGACAAAAAATAACAGTGCATGTCTTGTCATTGGAATGAGTACACACTTTCTGTCCTTTGGTGAGGAACCATTGGAGGGCAAGACTAGTGCGAGCACCTGCAGTCATTCCGGCGTTGATAACATATCTTAAAGTTGCTGCGGTTAAAAAGTCCATCGGTGGATTCTGTGACTGACCTAAGAGTCTGCCGCGAGCTGAGCCACCGTCTGTCTCAGCCCCAGGATGCTTTTATCTGAGGATCCTACGAGGCCCGAAACAGTGACTCAGAAAAAAAAAATTGGCCTGTTTGAAGCAGGTGGTGGATGGTCACCTGAATAGGGGTCATGGAATAAGGCTGTGGGGCTATTCGGTGTGTTTTCTTCCTCTCAAATGGGACAGTAATCGAGATCGCTAGACCGGGTGAAATTCTCGGACGGAGGAGAGCTAAGGTATTTGACAAGAATGTTTTCAGTAAACAGTAAATGAAAGTTCAAATTCCATAGTTCAGACCGTAAACGATGCCGACGAGCAATCCAGCAGGAGTAGAGCTTTCGGCTCCATTGGAGGCAACACGTGATCAAATGTTTTTGTCTTTAACCAAAAACTAAAGTCACACTAGTAGTGGGAAAAATATCACTCTTACTGGTAAAGTAATATATAATATATTATATATTTATAATATATATATTATATATATATATATATATTATAAAAGAGAGAGAGAGAGAGAGAGAGAGAGAGAGAGAGAGAGATTAGGGGGGGGATAGATTTTTAAAA